CCCCCCACCATGCAGGGTTCGCGGGATCACCTCCCACCCGGTGGTGGAGCGAAACCTCGACGCCCTCATGTCCGAGCTCAGGTCTTGGTCCGCCGGGCTAGGCAGCGCCGCCGCTGGTGGCCGCTTCAGCGCTCCCGCGGTGAGCACGGGCGAGGTTTTCCAGAGCAAGGGCGTTCGATTGTTGCCGGCCGGGCCCGTCGGCGGCGGCACCGAGGCGGGAGGAGGCGCAACGTCGGGGAGACCAGGAGGGAAGCCTCTCGCCAATGGGGGCAAGGCCTCCGTGTCTTGTGGGGGGAAGGCCGGGTCTGTTGCTGGGGGGCGCGGGGGCGGCGGGGGGGGCCAGCGTCCACAGTGCCAGCAGTTGCTCATTCCCCGCCCTCCGATGCTTCTGCTGAACGTTGGGGGAGCGGCAGCCGCGGCGGGAGTAGAAGAGGGGGGAAGAGGGAGGGGGAGAGGGAGACCGAGGGGTAGACCGAAAGGGAGCGGGAAAGGGAGAGGGAGGGGAAGAGGAGGGAGAGGAGGAGGCGGCTCTCCCCGCGCCGGTCCGCTTGCCATCGCCAAGGTGGCCACAAGGGCCTCTTGCGATGCTGATGCTGGTGCAAGTGCTAGTGCTGGTGCTGGTGCATGTGCTTGTGCTGGGGCTGGTGCGAGTACTGGTGCAAGTGCTGATACAGGTGCAAGTGCTAGCGCAGGTGCTGGCGCGAGTGCTTGTGCTGGCGCGAGTACTGGTGTATGTGCTAGTCCCGGTGCTAGTGCTAGTGCTAGTCCCGGTGCTAGTGCTGGTGCTAGTGCTGGTGCAAGTGCTACTACTATTGCAAGTGCTAGTGCTGGCGTTAGTGTTGGTGCATCAGCGCCAGCATCAGCGCCAGCATCAGCGCCAGCATCAGCGCCAGCATCAGCGCCAGCCTCAGCACCAGCCTCAGCGCCAGCCTCGGCGCCAGCCTCTGCGCCAGCCTCAGCGCTATCCCCAGCGCCAGCCTCAGCGCCAGCCTCAGCCCCCGCCTCTGCGCCAGCCTCAGCGTCTCCTACCCTCTGCGCTTCGCTCACCGGACAACCGGCCGGGGCTGCCGCCGCCGCTGCCACCACCCCTCCCCCCACCTCTCCCCCCGTCAACCCCCCCTCCGCCGTCGAGGTAGCGGGGAGAAAACGTCCCCGCGAAGAAGCAACCGGTCAGGACACGGAGCGTTCGAGCCGCACTGTGGGGCCAGAGGGGGCAGCGGCAGCGGCAACGACGACGGGCGCGGGCGCGGGGCAGGGAGCACTGCAGGGTAACATCGGCGGCGGCGGTGGTTCTTTTTCTCCCAAGGAGGCTTGGGAGACGTTGAAGAATAGCCTCGACTTTTGGGAATGGATAATTGCGCGGCTGATGGGGTGAGTGGGCAGGGCGAGAGCCAAAGCGGGCACGTGCATTTGGCAAGCGAGGGGAGGGAGGGGGGGCGGGGGGCAGCAGCGCGATGCTTTAGGCCTAGCACCCCCGCAGGCTCCTCGCACATCACCCCTTGAGACATGCGCAGGAAATCCGAATCTCACGCCCTACCAGCAGCAGTACGGACTACTTGTTCTCCCCGGTGGGGTCTTACCAGGAACTCAACTGTGCGGCCGGTACAACCCCGGGACCCCTGTACGGAGATACGAAATGCTTGGCGGTGTCCCCCCCCCTCCCACCCCCGGAGCAGTGCTCCTGGACCGACCCGTTTCCTCTTTCTTTTTGCGTTAGCGATTGCCCTCTCGACGGCTTGTTTTTGAGGGTGGCCATGCTCATGGATTAACAACAACCTCGCAGTCAGTTGGAGGAAAGTTTTCGGCAACTTCCGGAGAAACAGCCGCGTCATGTGTTGTTTGCCACTCAGCTGTAAGATTTCATGCTTACAGTCGTGGCTCCGATAGTAGAAGGTGGTGTGACGAAAGGACCTTGACCCTTTCGTATCAGACTTCCCTCGTACACCGGAATAAGAGGGTACCCAACGTATACTAAAGCGGTTCCAGTCCGTGTCAAACCAATTTGCGACCCACTTGTGAAGGATATCCCGCTTGGTTGTAAGGTACCCTCTATGTCGGAGCCACGATTTTTTTTCACGGTCTCGCAGCACGTGTCCCGATTTGCTTCATTGGGATCTATTTTCTCTGTCGACAATCCATAGCTAGACTTGGGCGTTCCATCCAAGTCCTTTCCCCCCCCCGCCCCCCCCCCGGTGATCGGTCCTGTGGGAACAATGGGCCGTCCTCTCGAGGACGCGTGGTCAATGGTCTAACCGC